AACATCAAACACAAAGTGCTGAAAAATATTAATGTGAATATTTTGCTGATTTGAGAAAGATCGCAGTCTGTGTTTGTTTGTGTTATTTACATCAGTTATTTATGTATATATGAAATAAAATTCAAAGTGATTTATGTGGTCTAACAAGAGCAGGAATGGAAAAACAACATAGGAGAACATAAACCAAAACAATTAGTTTTAATTTAAAAGAATAAAACATTTAATGACTCATTTTTATAAAATTGCTCCTCTTCAGAAAGAAATCTGTTTTATTCTAATAAATAATTGTTCTTCATAAGAATATTCTAATTTTAAAAAATGAAAGAATTTCTACGTAATTAATCTATTGGTTTCAATACTATATAAGTACCAAACACCTTATTACCAGCAAGAATTTTTGATCAAGTACTTTTGATTCAAGTTCAACCACATTCAGATTCTATTTTTTTACTTCTCAAATACATTAATGTATTCAAAAAGACGAAGAACCCCTGAAGAAATTTACACCAAAAATACGTAATCATTAAATATCTAACTCCTTTAAATTATAATTAACAATTTTGATTAATTTCAAAAGAACTCTAAACAAACAAGATATTCTCAGTGGCAAGTCTACAGGCAAAAAGGGTATATTGCCCTGGGCTCCCAAGCTTATTTCTTTTTAAAGAAAGTATTTTTCCCGAAGAAAACTGTCCAAGTCGACACCATACATAGGGTCCCCTAATTCAAATTTCCTGGGCCCCACAAAGCAATAATGTGCCACTGGGTATTCTTATAGAATGTAAGAATTAGCTAATAATTAATAAAAATTCATACAAACAGTTCGTCAGAACGACAATTATGACAAATCACAATACCAATGGTAGTACAATACTAATGATCATTTTCATTATAGTCAATATCTTGAAACCTATCTAATTTTTTTCGCTTAACAGGCATTTCATTAATCTAAATTCGGCAGTGTTATGTAATTTATCAAGTGTATTCATTATGCGTTTGCTTATTTATACAGCAGAGATCTTTACAAGGTCAAGCATAATCACCTTTACTCGTTATAAAAATTATTTGAGAATTTAGTATTTCATTAAATGTTAAGAATGCAGAAAAATTAGTAACAGAATTCCTAAAGCGAGTGATAAAATATTAAGAATGAAAGTATTGATACTGTACAACTTGCGTAACGATAATGCTGATAAAACCGAGCGATAAGACTATTTTGAATGAGAGTCAAACAATTATTTAAAACAGCAATCACCGGACTTTTTCCCATTGTGAACATGTCAATAATTAAAAAAAAAAAATCACTAACCTCGTGTAAATTCTCCGAATAAAGAGAGTGGCGAGACCAGCTTGATCTTTTAGAAGTTTTATTATTGGAATCTTTATTTCTATTAGATATTTTAAAATAATTAGATTTTAAGTTAGTTATTTTGCGGTTAAGAGGCAATTTTAAATGTCTTAAACCAGTTGCCATCTTTGCGTTGATTTTCGAACTTATCTGCTTCACACGTTTTCCTCCCGAAGGACCGACATTTTAAAAGATTACGACGCCCTCTAAGTAAAATTATTTATTAAAAAAACAATCAAAATTATATAAATAGGTATTAAAAATTAGCTTTAGATTTTAAATAATTTTACATTTCATTTAATTTAAATTTTTTTATATAATCGTATACATTTTATTAGTTTCTTTTATGGTCGACTTTTTTATTTTGTCTTTCCATTCTGTGACGCTAAGTATAGTCCGTGCAGCGAAAGAGTAGAAGTGAGTCTGCCTGAGTTGGCTTAGGCAGACTCACGTCAGATGAAAGGAGACGTGTGACTATCTCCTTAGGAGTTAACACATAAAACAGCTGAAAGAGATCAATCTGTTTTTTACATTTCTAAAACCCGTTTATACCATCTTTATCATAATTTTATTGTTTTACTTTTTCACAAATTTTATTACTTATTCTTAATTCTAACCTTACTCACGCGTTAATCACACGATCCTTCCAGCTCAGATTGATTTATATCTACTATTTCGCTGCGCAGACTTTAGTGATGAGCGATCCGTGATTTTTTACCCTACGTGGTACTATGTTTAGTATCGCATACATTTTGCTGAAATAATAGGTTGATTAGCTTTCACTAATGTCCATTTTCATTCGTTAATGACCATATTCAAATTTCATGGTTCACTTCACACCCATCGGCTTCTGGGAAAAACTTTCAATTCGCGAGAGACACTTGATAAGAACCCGTATGAACTATTGATAGTTACTCTTGCAAACGATATCAAAGCATATTAAGTCGAATTTTTGGAAATTAGCCTACATCCTTTCCAGGACAATCATAAATAGAAATATAAAGTTTCATACAAATCGGTCTGCCATTCTCATATGATACCCAAACAAAGTAATATACATACAACGCAATATATATATATATATATATATATATACACAATATAAAATTTAATTCATAAGAAACATTCTAATTCTATGTATTTCATTTGTTCAAAAAACAAAAGGACTCGCTCTACCCCTGGGCCAATACAAGCTCTCGACGACCCCGTTTAAGTAACTATGTAAATTTTTGTAACTACAGGTAACATTTGTAAGATTGGTTCTTTGGTTTATGTGTTTTGTATTTGTGGAAGAAAAGTACAAAAAGTATATCTTGTACCATATTAATTAATATATGCTTGTATACATCACAGAAATAGTCAATTGTTAATAATCTTAAATGCAAATTTCGATATTTATCTTTGCTTTAAACCCGTCATGTCCACCCGCGGCCCAGTCAATGTTTTTGCGCGGCTCTTTTAAAACCGTAATTCTTATACATCATATTTATTGTAATAAAAATTTATACAACACCTTATCACCTACACTCAGAAATTAAAACAGCTTAAAAATGTTTAATAGCAAATCTTCAAATGTTTTACATATACTATATATGTATGTACTATACAATACATACTGCAATACATCTTCTGAATTGAAATACAGTATATATTTCAGGCCAATGACAAAGTTTAGTTAAAAAAAGTCTGTAATGATAAATTCTCTAACCTAAAAAACTAGCGATGAGCATTACAGCTGCAATGGGAACCATCTATCTTTGTGAATCTTTCTCAAAATTGAAGATTGTTAAATGTCGTAATAGATTGACCGATGAAAATTTAAAAAAACAACTACATTGTACAACGTCGAAAATACCCCTTAATATTAAAAAATTAAGTGAAAAACGTGAAAAGCAAGTTGCACATTAAAATACACACAAAATACTGTATATATTTCAATTTTTCGTTGTAAATAAATATGTGCGGCCCACAGTGTATTTTTATTTTTGGTTTAGGCCCAGTAAACAATTTCGGTTGAACACCGTTTTAAACGAACGATCATCAGAATGTATCCAGAGAAGCGACTCGCTGCAAAGCTCTCCTGGAACTGGGATCTCAGCAGGTCGGATTGGCATTTCAATAAATTGAAATTTAATTAAAAGGTGAAATTTCATCGAGGAGTTTGAACGGAATTTCTATTTTTCATTGTGATAATTTACATTCCTTTATTCAATTTATCGACGAAATATTAACTGCACAAACTGGAGATTGGCAATTTGTATATAATGATTTGTTCATTAAAAAAATTTATAATGTGAAAATGTAAATGTATAAAGCTGTAAAAATGTTCACTATTAACTTTTCTTCCCTGCTAATTTATATGTAGAAAAAACGTGTATTAATATAATTCTTTAATTAGTTCTGGATATGGTGTAATAAACTCAATTAAAATGTAATTTTAAAAGCAAATTTAATTGTTCATTAAAAGAATTTTCATAAGTTGAAATTATATATTAATTTTGTGTTAAACAATAATAAAATTTGTTATTTTTTTAAAATTTATCATCATCAAAAATTAATTTTTCTTGATTAGAATTCAATCGTTTCAATTTTCTTCATTGAACTCCTGCTCATCTTGATCATTGTCATCCTCTTCCTCATCGGACAATTGAATTTCCGGAGCCGAAACTGGAGGAGAAACTGTTTAAAATGAACAATTAACAATTGTGACATCATTACAATTCCGGGCTGCAATTTTTAATCATCTTTTAATTTAAAAAAAAAAAATCGCGAAACTTCCATACAGATCGGAAGGCAGTTTGAAAATTGCAACCCAATAAGAAAAATTGAAATTTATAATACATTACCTAGATTTCTTGGGATGTAAAATGTTGCGTAATTATCGATCACGTTATAAATTGTCTACAGAAAAGTCATAATTTAAAATGCATAGGATTAATAATAATTAATGGTAAGATCGTAGATGTCAATGATCAATGACAATAATTTAAATAACCTTACGAGTTTAATGAAATAAAATAAAATTAACGGCAGCAGTAATAATAAATAAATTAAAAAAGGTTTGATTCTTTCGATGTTAAAATGGCTCCTCTCCGTTCTGCGAGTTTCGCAGTCGAGATCCTTTTCTAAATAACGTATCCATTCCGATATCAACTTTTCCAAGTAACACAGAAATCTGTAAAGGCACACTCGCAAGACGTACCAAGATTTCTGAGCGTAAACCTTTACGAGAGGACATATCCATTCCATTTGCTGTTGGACGTACGACTGTACGCATGTCGACATTACTTGGCAATTTTGCCAAGTTGTTATAGATAATTCTTTAATTTGCCACCAAACTAAGGATTTAAAATCGGTAAGCTTGTGTTTGACCACCACGCATCGTCAAAACTTCGAAGAACGTGCTAAAAGTACAGTACCTTTCTTGAAGCAGGCATCGCAGTCCAGTGATCCGCAACGAGGAGTTCTACAGGATTTTTCTTTGTATCCGTCTGTCGGAACGTTAATTAAATTCAGAATGTAGTAATAATTTCTGTTTAGAAATTATTACTACATTCTGAATAATTTCTAAACAGAAATTATTACTACAGGTGATATAATAAAGAAATTTTGTTCTTTCCTGAACTAACTCTCATTGCTGTGCCAATCTTTAAACACCAGTATTAAGTCCTATTAATAAGTAAAGTCCAAGTAGACAATTAACAATAACATTATTTAAAGCTACTTTCTGATGTCAAAAACGACCTCCAATAGTTTTTTAATTAATAGATTTTAATATATATAATTATATACAGCTCAGCGGCGGCCTTATCCATTGCAAGACTCTGGGCGGCAGATCTTTGCGAGGCCCTTGTCCTTTGTGCCAAGTATATAAATTGAAATAGTAGGCACTTATTAATATTAATATATACTGTACTATAAATTAAATTTATTTTATTGTTATAACTAATAGCCAAGGATAAAATAAAAAGTTTTAAATATCAACTTTTTTCTACTTGGTTGTTGCGTGAGGCCCCTCCAAGAGCGAGGCCCCGGGCGATTGCCCTGCTCGCCACCCCCTAAGGCCGCCACTGATTATATATAAGTTTAATTAAGTCGGGGGGGGGTCGGAAATCGCAATAAAAATTTCAATTTTTTAAAAATATACGGCCAATTAGTATTCACCCTACTATAAACCCATCTCCTCCCGAGACTTGAGAATGTCCCGGGAAATCCGACTCCAGCTGTTCTCAAGGTCATCCAGCTGTGTAAACAATGACTCATCGGTGTCAAATTTCACATAAAGGCGAGACAAAGGAAAATAAATTTTGAAGCTTTTTCTTCAAAATTAACGCATTTCTTTCGTTTTTTTGTTTTAAGTATTTTTTAATTATGTTTAATTACATTAATATCAAAAATTGCTCGGGGCTTAAGGAGTTAATAACATTGTTAGACCTCATAATATAAAAAAATGGCTACGAATAATGGTTAAGTAGTTACCGCAAAACCAGTTGGCTTCTACGAAATACGAAGAACCAATTATCACGATTACCAAAAGCCAAAATTTCGCGATTTGCTTCATCTCCATAAATTTTTATTTTATTGTTCAACAATCGGTAACGGTAATTGTTTCTTTTATTATCGTAAATTATTTGTTCTTGGTTAATTTTATTAGTTAAAGAAATTAACGAAGTATGTTTTAAATAAGGTTTTTTAAAATTCTTTTCACACTATGAGCGCCTCTTTTAGCAAGCTCATTTGGGTTCGGCTAGGCTCACAATGGGGTGGCCAGGTGATGAGGGACGGGGCCAGACATATTCGGACGGACCATCTCCGAAAAATTCCTGGAGATTTATCGACCCGTCCGGATTCGAACCCGGGTCCCCAGAGCGGTAGGCTGCTACCTTGACCGCTCGGCCATCTGACCGTCAATTTCTTTAAACAAGTATTTATTCATATTTGATTTAAAGTGAGCATTACGAGGGCCTTTTTTGCACAAGTGTGAATTCGGCCAGGCCTACAAGTGGCGACGGGGCCCGACGTATCAGGGCGGATCGCCCGTGAAAAATTCCTGGGGAGTTGCTCGCCCGAATCGATCTCGGGTCCCCCAGATGGTCCGACACCCGAACTGTCACAGCCGCCTGGTTTAAAGTTTATAATAATGAAATATATCTTTAATTAACGTAATTAATAAACCAGGCATAAATTTGATGATGTCGGATAAGTCGAATGGCGATTGAATTGAAGCATAAGTTTATTATAAGATAAAATATTTCTATGCGCATGTATTGTTCAACTTATAATCCCATTAAGCGGCTAAAAATGAAGAGGACTTTTTGTCAGTCAAATGTGAGGCCGTCTCCGAAAGCTAGACAGTCAAATCTCGATTTAGCGTCATCATTTGTTCGCCTAAGAAACTGGCACTAAACAAGTATCTCGAATAATGAGAATTCAAAGGAGACACGTTTGGGTTTGAAAACAATTTGTTTGCAATGCAGATTCATAGTTTAGTAATTTAGATATTGAAGGTTTTAATACGAATGTATTAATGTTCACAAAGTGGAAAAGAACCATTCACAAAGTACTTACATTTCACAATAGTGTCGCACAAAAGTGATCTAAAGATCTGATCTATAGAATTGTATTTTTCCTTCAATAAACTGAAATAGAAATATTTGTTAAAGAATTCGTAAATCTGTTCCAATGAGGTGATGCTTAATACTGCATATGGAGATATGCAGTATTAAGCATACTAATCCAACCCATACTAATTTGTAAAAGCATACTAATCTCCAACCCATACTAATTTGTAAAAGCATACTAATCTCCAACCCATACTAATTTGTAAAAGCATACTAATCTCCAACCCATACTAATTTGTAAACCGACAGGATCAAGCATCAAATGATTGGAGTAAACATATTTGCGAGACCTAGGAATTTCCAGAAAAACAATTCACAAGTCAAATTCTATCAATGACACTTGCGTGTTAAATTGTTCTTAGATGGAAACAAAATACAAATTTCATATTCATTATGCAATAGAGTAATATTGAAATTTACTTATACGTATTATAAAGCTTTCAAAATTACTTTTACTATTTTTTTTTATCTAGCAAGAATAAAATGATATATAAAAACTACAAAAGTCCCTCTACTTATGATCATTGAGCTGCAATTCGAAAAAAATTGTAGACAAATTCCCACTATCGTCTGTCCATCCTTTCTTCATCTCGAGAATGGAGTTAGATAGATGAAAGTCGAAAGCAGACATAGAAAGCTTTGGGGCAGGTTCGGACGAACTATATACGAACTTCCAATGCAAACCGGAAGTCACGTTATTACAATTCAAAAATGTTCTCCGGAAAGGAGTTAATTAATGGCCAGCACGACTCTATTGCTAACGGAAAAGTATGATGTACAGGGGCAAGCCACTACTAATTTGAGATGGAGAGCATATATTTTAAATTAATCTGTGGTAAAACCGAAACATTTCGGTTCACCTTTTCAACTTTCACTTGATTATCCACCAGATGTCGAGTCGAGCTGTGGTGCTTATCAATATCGAGGTATGACTGTATGATTAAAATCAGCAAGACGAAAAAAATTTTAACATTTATCAAAAAAAATTTTTTTCTTTCTTTTTTACACGAAAAGATTAACTTCTGGAAGGTTCCTCTCGATAGTAACAGAGACAAGAATTTTTTGGACTCCTCTCTTCTGGACTTGAAACCTATTTATAATTTCAACGCAATGACAGGATAATTGATAAGACTGATTTATCATAATTAAAGTTGGTATTTTGTAGATAAAATCTTTGTTTTTTTTGTCCAGTTAGGCAGAAAAATGGATGAAACAAAATCATAGAAGTATCAAACACAAAGGTTTCTTTTTAAAATACTTTTAAAGTTCCTAAAATAGTAAATAAAAAATACCATAATCAGGCTATTTTTTTAACAGTTAAATAATTTCTAATGTAGAGTTTTGTTGGATTTTCTGACAATTTATTGCTAGGAAGTTGAAACAACACTTCTAAATTTGATAAAATTGGAATTAGTTGAAAAATATTTGAAATGTATGAGATTACCGATTCCCAAGATTATTTATTTTTATAATATAATAGGGTCTTCATTTAATGAACTACAGTAATTAGGGAAAAAGGTGTAGCTATTCCTGAAATATACTCACANCAGAAAAATGGATGAAACAAAATCATAGAAGTATCAAACACAAAGGTTTCTTTTTAAAATACTTTTAAAGTTCCTAAAATAGTAAATAAAAAATACCATAATCAGGCTATTTTTTTAACAGTTAAATAATTTCTAATGTAGAGTTTTGTTGGATTTTCTGACAATTTATTGCTAGGAAGTTGAAACAACACTTCTAAATTTGATAAAATTGGAATTAGTTGAAAAATATTTGAAATGTATGAGATTACCGATTCCCAAGATTATTTATTTTTATAATATAATAGGGTCTTCATTTAATGAACTACAGTAATTAGGGAAAAAGGTGTAGCTATTCCTGAAATATACTCACATTGCCATAAAAATTAGCATACCAGAGTTGTCGTATCGCTGACTTGGCATAAGTCTCAAGCAGATATGGAAATGATTAGTTATAGCGTGATGCCTCATTGCGTAATGCAAGTAGAGTCCCCTTGGTCTATAAAAAAGCGCACAAAGGCATACTATCTGTAGTTTACCTGTTTAAGTCGCGATTTCGTTAAAAATCGATATTCACCATGCATTAATTAATACTACATTTTAACTCAAATCTGAATCGTAATTTAACTCGCGGAAAGTTAATTCTCAAACTACAGATTAAGGCTATGCACTGAGTTCGTATGGACAAGCCATAACTCTAACGACAATAATGCAAAAAACCAAACAATGAAAATTCGAATTTCCGGTTACTTTCCTGACTGTTATAACACGGGAAAGTATTGTAATCATCAAGTTTTTGTCACTTTATTGGCTGTTTTAACATAACACTGGTTACATTCCTGGATGTTGCTATATAATATTGTAACGTGTCACACTTGACCCTCCGGGTTTCTGGAATCGTAACGTTTCGAGACTTCTAAACCTAAAAAAAAGGACGGTAAGACAAAAGTCTCCGAATCCGATTTCAAAAAATGGCGTTTTTAAATACAAGTAAGGTTTACAAGTAGCTACGTTTCCAGATTCCCTGGGCTTTGAAAATACTACACAAGTTGGAAGTGTCCGCTATGTTCCTTCAAGCACAAACGCATGTGGTGACATATGTTTATGGCTACGCATCTTAAGCGTGACTGGAGAATCTTTCGAAATTACGCGATCTCAGAAGAGCATAGGTCTGCCGTTGCTGTTGCCAAGTGGTATGTCGCTCCTTGTTGGGAGCAAGACATTGCGTTCATCCTTTTCAAGCAACGAAATAAACTGCTGAATGATTTCTTGACACATGATTCGATTTCGAAGTACGCCTCCAAAAGGAAAACAAGCTGTATTTGTGAAAACGTCATAATGCTTTGTGACACTGCTGCATTATGACGTTGGAGAGTCAATAGGAAACTGGTTGCAGGTTACCGCAATGTCTTCGCAAGGAGAGACGTCTGGCACTTTCTTGGAATTTGCCCTTTGCTAAGTTAATTTAAATGCTTAGGGACGTTCTGAGATGTGATTAAGGCGATTATTTTACAAATTCGTAGCACATATTAATATTTTGTTTTAATGTTGTTGATGTTAAAATCAGACTTTTGGCTCAACCTGTATAGTGCCTAACTATGCATTCTATAACGGCTCTAACCTTTCAAGCTATTAATTACTAATTCGAAATTCATATTCTAAATAGTTCAACTGTCTTTATACTATACAAATTGGTCATTCGATGAAATATTAGTTGATATTCCGGATATTCTCTGAGCAATTTACATGAGCCACAAATTTTTTTTTATAAATACGAACTGATCGTACAATAATGAAACTATTCCATAAAAAAAAAACAAGTATAATAAGAGCAAAGTTGCATTTTACAACAAACTGATCGAACATTGTAAAACGCAAGACATTTATTAATTGCTTTCCAATTACACGTTTAAACATAAAATTAAATGAACCATGTAATTCCAACAAATCTGTAATACAAACTAAAATTTTCGTGTATACACAATCTTTGGCTTTAAAGATTGACAGAATTTTTTGTACCAATATTTCAAAATAAACAACAACACTTTTTACAAGACAAAAAAAATAGGCAGTGCATATTTGTACTATTTTCAAAAATAATAACCGTTTCATTAAATATTTATATATATATTTAATGTAAAAACACTTAAAATGAGAACCAAGTAACACAATAAAATGGTTTTGTCGCAAATTTCTTTCGTTAAAAGGCACTTTAAAAACGAGAATTACTCAAACGATTCTCGTTAAACGTTTCTTTGATTTTTCGCTGATATAAACTCTTACAAAATTTAAATTTTTGATAATTCTTTATCAAAAAGCCGAAAATAAATCTTTTAGAAAGAGAATTCTCTCTGAAAGACTATGTTTGAATTTAAAAAAAAACGACAAATAATAATAATAATAATATTAATATAAATTAATGTCAATTCTTGATGATATCAAGAATTGGAAGAACCCCATTCGACTAAATATTGAATCTTTCCATCGGGAGTAACACGTTTGGCTCTTATTCTAACTTTCTCACCATTTGCGATGTGTTCGGTACCGTTATTGTTGTTCTTTGAAGATCTTAGCTCTCGATGGGAAACCTCGGAGAACCGAGGTTTCTTTCTGATTGTTTCAACGACGAAGTTATCAGATTCGCTACCTGTATCCAAGCTCCCTTCACTTGTCTGTCCGTTATACCAACGAAACCTGGTATTTTTCACGTGATTTCTTCTTCGATAACGCCGTTTTATCTCCCCGTTCTTCGACACTCTAATATCTTCCTTACTAAGTTTTCTTTTAACCGGACACATCGAAGAATTCTGACCTCTTGGCCAGTTGAGATCCCAAAATGGATGATTCAAACCTTCGAAATTTGAAGGAGGAGGAATAATTACATCCAGAGTGTTATAGGCGATTTCTTCTGTTGGAAAATCACTGTCCAAAACTGTACAAGTACTGGCTTCTCCGGTATAACCACAGTATGATTGATTAGCACTGACTGGGACACATTCAGATTCACCCTTTAAAAAATCATACAAAATTTTGATTAGTTAAATAGATTTTCAAATCTATATATTAATAAATTCAAAAAATTTGAAAGTTAAAAAATACTAAACTTAAATGCATCAAAAATATATATTTAACTAATTCCCAAATACTTTTTTCTTCTCTTTTTTTCCCCAATATAACATAGGCTCATAAGAAAAGCTAAAAAGCTATTATTATAGAATATATTGAACTATTAAACGGTTTCTAAAGTTTAACATGTATTTAAAAATTTAGTGACTAAATATACAGTTCTTATTCCAATAATTTAATTTTAATATAACATAGCCAATCAATGACATTACATTTAATTGAGTATAACGTTATAATAAATCATGTGTATACTATTTTTTCTTCTTACATGGTGAAATTTCTTAATTGTTGTCATTAAAAACACCCAGTCCACCATTCCAGAATCCAACTACTCTTCATTCCCAATACTATTATAAAAGCTAGCAAATATTAACTTAACAAATTAACCAGAGACGTTCTTCCTTGTGTGAGAGCAAGAGAAAGTCGGGAAGACTTTCCAGTAAAACATGGTGCAATAAAGATGTGTTAACTAACTTAGTCTTTCCTTTATTTAAGTTACTTGTTCATAAACACTAAAAAATGATGTCAATTAAAAACAAATTTAAAAATTGCCATTATGTTGCATGCATGATGTCTTCACAAATTGCTTTTACCAATAATAAAATTTTCTTTGGTAGGAGAAAATGAGGAAAACTATTGGGAACAATGGAAAGACTTCCTATTATTCGACTGCTTCTGGAGTGTCCAGTGATGCCAAGAAAAATACCTCATTGCTTTTGCTAGGAGATGAGGTAAAAAAACTTTTAAAATTCTTCAAAGTTATGGATTTAAATTCATTATCTCATGAAAAGCTTCTCTGAAAGTTTAAGAAAAAATTTGATGTAAAGTGGAATTATATGCTTGAGTGTCACACTTTCAAAGGTATTAAGCAGAGAGCATAGATGATTTTTTTAATTCATTTACAGTTCCAGTTCCTAGCTTGTAATTGGGGGGGAACTAAGTAGACAGTTATCCTGGACTAAATTGTTGAGCCTTGTGCAAGTAACAAACTGTAGACTATTTTTAAAACAATACAGTCTCTATCTTCAACTCTGGTTATCTACAGAGAGAAATGAAGAAAGTTCCATATGATATGCAAAACACAAATGGAGGAAGAAAAGATGCCACCTCTAAAAAGGAAAGAACATCACCAGTCCAGAAATGATGTTAGAGAAGAAGACAAAGAGCATGCTAGCATTACTAAAAAGAAAGTCAGTAATTTTAAACTTTATCCTGTAGTGATAAAACTTTTTATAAAGTAACAATTCAGTTCCCCACAGAAAGACTATTCAGTATCGCAGAACTAATTAAAACGTCAAGGTACAACAGATTGTGAGATATTGTGTTTACAAAATATTTGCTTAAGAAAAATGGAGTTTATTTTTAAAAAATAGATTGACTTAATGGCAAAAATTAAAACATTGTTTCCTGGTGTATTTTTTAATAAGCTTAATAAAAAAATTTTTGAAAAGGTTTTTTAATCTGTGGACTACTACTACTACTACTACATTAGTTAACTATTAGGCTAATCATAATAGATAATACAGATTAATAATTAATTAACCTGTATCAGGAAGCACAGCCATTTTGACCCCAGACAGCTTTCAAAGTGCTATAAAAATGAACACAGTTAATATTTTCAGTTTTACTGCTTCATGTATTTTTTCTTTTGCCATTTCAATACATACATACACACACACACACACTGATGGAAAGAAACTTAAATTGCTTTATTGGTTTAGAATCTTTTACAGTTTTTTATATGTTCAGGGTCACATATAGACCCCATGGTAGCTATTATGCATTTAAAGTGGATTTTACAATGTTCATTTGTAAAGTCAAACTCCATGAGATTTTAGATCTAATAACAGAATATAATATCAGACTGAAAATGCTTGTTAATTTATTAAATTTTATTGATGGGAAGAAGAAAAGATTATTTTTGATAATTCAAACTAAAATCTCAAATTATATTTTGTCTTTCTTCCTCCAAGATTTTTTTCTTTATGTACATTAACTCCCTCAATAAGCTACAGTTAGACCACCTCTCAACATTTATAACATAATCATTATAAGATTTAACTTAATTATTACAGAATCTAAAATTCAGTTTTTATTTTATTTATGATAATAACCTTTCTTACAGCATCTTCATAAGCCACTCTTGCTCTTGCTGATCTTTGTGTTACTGTCACTTTTTCGGAAGAATCAGAAGCAGACTTTCTTCGTTTACCCTTTTTTATAGGAATTGGTGTACTATAAAACAAATAAAAACAAATAAATAATATATTATATATTATTTAATATTTATCTAAGTTATTAACAACACAAATTTCTACAACAACAGCTTACTTATTAACAGGAATAAACATTTTAGTTTTATGCTGTTTTGACCTCTTCAATTCTTCCATCACTTCATCATTTACTGGTCCAATGGCAGGTATTGTAATTGTTGGTACTGGTGGTGGTACTCTACTTCTTAATCCCCACAGATTGCCTTTTTTCTTTATTTCTCTTCCACATATAAACCTATTAAAAAAAATCCATGGATTAATTTCTACTATAATATTTGAAACAACAAAAATTTATCAATATTTACTATTTATTTCCTTCTGTAAGTGCTATTTACTATAAAAGATTGAGTTATTTAGTGCAAGTAATCAAATTTTGCTGTTGAACATACTTTAAATATAAAAATTAGGCTGAAAATATCAACTTCTGGCACATGCTAAAGAATAGTTCATGCATTTTAATTAAACTACAGATTTCTCTACATTCACTCATTTTAAGAAATTAGACCTGATATAACCTGAATTTTTTGGAATTAAAATATGCTTTATAATGATTTATATCTAAAAATAGTTCTCTCATTGGCAAAAATTAGAATATACGTTTTAATAATATATAAATCAAATTTTCATCTTACTACATAGTTGTTTCTGCACTAAAGTTTAAAATAAAAATGCTGTATTTATCCAAAAGTAGAAAGATTTACTAGAAGAAAAAAAGCAATCGATGGAATGAAATTCTTACCCTAGTTTCATGATGTAATTAAATTATACTGATTAATAAAACTGTCTTTCTGTCAATCACTATTACTTATCATTTATGATATTCTTGATCTTTGCACTTTTTGAACATAATATTAAGGTTAAAATTATACACAACTCTCCGAACACATACAATTATAATAATTATTTTGCATATATGACTGTCAGATATATAAATTAAAATGCTTTAATGTATATTTTAATACTTCTAACATTTTATGCATGTGCTGTACACATTTGTAGATAATTAACTATTATATTTTAATATAAAAGAATAATTGTAAAGTTCTGTGTTAGACAAATGTCATTTTTTCTTCATTTAATGTTTGAAATTAATTTCAAGCAGATCACCTTTTAATTGAATTACTTGTTAGAAATGTTGAATAGTGTATTGTAAGAACGTAACCATTACACAATAATAAAACCACAATTATTTCTATTGCAGTGTATTTATAAAATATAACAACACAATAATAGAGAGAAAAAGATAGCAATCATAAGTAAATTCTTATTAATTTTAAGATACTATTTCTACAGTACTCTTAAAATAACTACAACCATTTAGAGTCATTGAACTTTATTTTATTTATTATGTATAGAAATTATATATAAAATCAAATTATATTATGATAATTATTACTACAATAGCTATATGTGCATAAAATATCAAAAAATGTAAGACAATATTTTCTTCACTGATTATCATTATATAAATTGAAAAGAAAAAAAAAAAATACTTGCCATCATAAAGTAATATGTTGATGAAGAATCAACAGATAGATCAATCAGAAAATACAAACAACTTTGTTGAGTATATTTTTGATTATATTAATATTTAATTGTTTATCTTAACTTATAATTAAGACATTAAATAAANAAAAAAAAAAAATACTTGCCATCATAAAGTAATATGTTGATGAAGAATCAACAGATAGATCAATCAGAAAATACAAACAACTTTGTTGAGTATATTTTTGATTATATTAATATTTAATTGTTTATCTTAACTTATAATTAAGACATTAAATAAATGAAAAACAAATCATTTATTGTATTTAGTTTAATCATTTACCCATAGTTACTGATAATTGTTAAATAATCAATTATACATCAAATTACATTCATTAATAACTACAAATATCATTTCTAAAATGTGTTCTATTATATTGTATAAATAAATAAATAGTGTTTAGCTTAGAATCTCAAATGTAAATGTTTTTGAACAATTCACAAGTTCATATTTGATGCTATCTATAAATAGAAAAATAAATGAGGTTAAATATCAATTCTTTTCTTCCAAAAATTTAAATTATTAACTTAAATTTAAAAATTCAGTTTAAGTTAAGAATTCATAATTTTAAAATGTTATAACATTTTAAGTAAATATGATCATTATCATAATCAAAATACAAAAATTACAGATAAGTTTACAACATTACACATCAATAATTATTAATACAATTACAAGTTTCTAAATAATGACACAATCAATTTCTCTATTAAAAGAAAATTATTCACATTGGTGCTAATATAAAATTCATTGTACATATTTGTTATTTAGTATTGATTTTATTATGTATTCAATATTAATTTATCTTAATTTTGGTTTAAAAAAAAATTAATTTTCTTAGTTTATTTATAGACATTGAAGGATCATACATATGAAATCATAACACACTGTTTTTCATTTTTTTTTACTTTAAAATTACATTTTTTCAAACTTACCTATTTCTATTGGTTCTAAGTGAGAGTAAAATATTGTCCTTCTTCGTATCCTCTCTTACACCAAACAACTATAAATTAATATAAAACAGATCTCCTTTACATGAATTTGTGACTGAAAAATACCTTGATTATTATGATATAAAATATTATATTACCTTTCCTTTTATTTGAAGATATTGCCACTTTTTAAGGATATATGGAACAATTACACTATTGAAATCAAAGTATTTCTTATTGTGTTCCACAGTCAAATTGAAAAGCAATAAATGAGTGACATCAACCCTGCACAATATTAAAAAACCTTATTATATCATTTTTGTTTATTTGATCCTTATTGTTCTAAATATGTATACAGGAAAAGTATTTTTCTAATTGCTGAATCTAAGAAATATTGTACTGGCAGTATTCTACCGAATAAGCTTTTCTTGAGTTAATTTTTATTATATTCATAATTTACTTGTAAAATTAAATTTACACTATTATTTCACATTCAAAGTTAAATATAAAATAAATTTTTAACTCTCGGCATATATTTTTATGATTGAAATGGATCTCACTAACTTAAATTTTCAAGCATTTCATACTTAAAATTATATTTTAAAATTTTGAAAAATATATTAGTTCAAAAACATCTGTTCTAATTGATAAAAAATATATTTTCATTTATGCTAATCATAAAAAATTCCTTTAAAATATTTCACTTCTTTTTCCTATTAAATAACAACACAGTGACTGATCTCCATGTAAAATAATCTGTAAAAATACAATAATTTGATTAGTCAAAGACAGATATAAGAGAATATTAACTTTTTAAGAGAGAATGTGAAATAGTATAACATAAGAAAACAGTCAAAATTGTAAGTAATAAATATATTTTAAATGCTTTACTATAAATATAGGTTAATAAGTTTAACAATTTAGATTTAAGCTGGATATCTACATGAGTAATTTCATTGTTCCAAGCCAGCATATAATCACATGACTTCCATGCAAATTGCACCACTGATATCAACTACTTTCATTTGTATGATCTCTAATGTAGAGAAAGGAGAATAAATCAATTATGGATGACAATGACACAATCATCTAGTGATATACCAGTTCTTTGCAGAAATAAATCAAGAAAACAAAACAGATTATCACTTTTATCATTTTTAAACTTTACACTTTCCATCCCTTTTATCAAAAATTTTAGGAAACTGCTATTAACTTCTCAGTTGCTGCATTCATTCACCAAATCTTTTAGAAAATGACAAACCATCTGATGTTTACTCACTGATAATTGCCCATAATAAAAAATACAGCCAGCCTGAGCATCTAAATTGCATGATTATGTATGATTTAGATCAGTGGTTCTTAACCTGTGTTCTGCTAAATTATAAAAGTGGTATACTAGCTGATACTATAATTGGATAAACTTTAGCATAAATTCACACTTTACGAAATAGACAAGACACAACTTGCATTTTGCAGTGAACTAATTCTTGTTTCCCTTGCAAAGAAAAGAAATAAATATATCTAAGCAATGATTTTGCATAGAGAATCTAGTTTCAAAAACATTACTGGCAACATTAACTCCTACACAAACCAAGTTGTAAATATGTTAAATTTCACCAAGTCGAGATCATTTAAGATGTTTTTTTTTTTAAATTTAAATATCTATTTCTGTACATATTCAAATTTAAAAAGAAAGCTCAGTATAAATCTTTGCTTTTGAACTCTAAATTAAGATTGTTATTCAAGGATAGTAAAAGGACAACAATTTATTCTTGTTCTAAAAATAGTTTTAGAACAAGAATAAATTGTTGTCCTTTTTCCAAAATAAAGAGAAATATTCTTATAAAATTTTTAAAAAGATACTGTGTTAAAATGGCATAGACAGTTGATATTTTTAATTACTTGGATAGATTAATACAAATTATCAAGAAAAACGGGAAAAATATTCATTACAGTATTCGACAAATATTTGTGAGAGCTTGGTTGAATCTTACAATTGCCAATAAAAAAAACTTAAAAATGAGAAAGGCTTACTGTACAAATATAGACTAAGAAGCGAGGATAGCTATATCATGTAGCAGACCTGATATTGATGAAATCTGCAGAAACCAACAAGCTAATGTATTGCATTATAATTGATTTAAAGAAGTTTCATTTTTATAAAAGTTTTGATTTATTTAAGTTAGTTTTTACAAATATAATTTTTAAAATTAATTCTTTTTTACTATTATTTATTCTGTAATCTATAATTTTTAATAAAAATGCATGTTCATGCATATTTTTGTTATTTTACCATATTAATGATTTTGCTGTTCTGCAAATTTTTCTTGCATTTAAATTCCACTGAATCAGATGCTCATTTATTTAGGTCATGCATGTGCAGTACTGAAAGCATTTAAAGTACTCATTTAGATAACCAGTTTTAAATTATAACAACACTTAACTAAGCTTTTGCTGTAAATTCATTAAAAGAATTGCATAAGTCTTAAAGCAAACTTAATGAGAGAAAGTTAATATTTTATAAAAACAGTCTAACAAATTTAAAAAAAAGCATTATAGTAAGAAAATGAAGAGAAGATTCCTTCAAAATTTTGGAACACACTAGAAAAACTGATAAATTTTTTTAGCTGTTTTAACAAATTGTTGGATGTAAAAATTGTTAATGTCGTCCTGTAATATTAACCTTAGTTGTATAATTTACATTTACATTGAATTTTATTAATCTTTAAAAAAATATTAATTATTAAAGAATAGACATAAATGTAAAATAAACATACATGTAACTTAAAAAAAAAAAAAAAAGACATTGCATAGCTTGTAACATTTATACCCATACAAATCTGTAAATTATAGATCAATCACTGTGTTATATAAGTATAGCCAACTATCTTTAAATTTTAGTATTAATACATCAAATTGCACACAGATATAATCCAAAATTAACAAGAGCCAAATTACATTGAATCTCTTAAATAATTTCCAGGATTAAAATTATGAAATAATTTTAAAAAAAAATTATTTTTGTAAATAATTAGTTCCTAATAACTCTTTGAAAATTTATTAAAAACTAACATTTATAAATTATTTTTCAAGATTAACACATTAAAATTTTGACATTACCATTTCAATTCCATTCTGTGCAGATATTCTTGATTAGAATTACATATTGAACAAACAAATATATAAAATCTGTCTCCATAAAGAAGAGGCTTTTCTAAACATTGCAAACAAGCTTCACATAAAAAAAAAAATTAAAAAGAAATTGTATGAGAAATTTTATCAATTAGAAATAATACTAGTAACATAGTATTATTTTTCAAAGAGATTTCCAAAAAATAAAAATTTTTAATCACCTTCGTGAAACCACTGCTTGCATCGGCAGCATTGCAGCATTTTTCTGTACCATCTAAAACATATTAAACATTTTGAAAATTTGTTCAGTTTATATTTAATAAAGGGAGGGGGCATATTTGGGCTTTAAAAATATTCAAAAAGCATTCCCTTGAAATTATCTTCTTTAAAGTAAAAATTGGAAAAAAAGAATAAAAACTTTTTTGATTTTTGATTATAAAGTAATTCTACATGAAAAAAATTTAATAAATATTTGTCAATATATTACACATATTAAAAATTAAGAAAATGTTATGATGTACCATGGAAAACAGACATGACAAAATAATTACCACAATTATATGCAGATAGCCCTTAGATTATCTGTAAAATCTATTTGGAATAGGTGAGAATTATGTAATGGTGAGGTCTGGCTGAAGATTTACTTGCAATTTATAAGTTGTTTAAGGAGTTCATTTGACTAAACTTACCAAGAGCAGCTTTACAAGATGCAAACACTCCTTTGCATACCACAGACTGCCATCTCAATTTTTCCAGAAACCATCAAAGTGTATATATATAAACCTTGCCTTTAGTCACCCCTCAGTCATTTTCAATGTGTCAAGCAATGCATTAATCATTGTTACAAACCAACTTTTTTCTATCAAAGAGAATAAGTTTCAATACTGACTGGAGATAAGAGAGTGAACGAAAGTCTTAAAAGCTAAGTTTCCAGTAATTTACCTCTCTCTCAAAGCCTTTTAAGTAATCTATCATAGGATATTATATTATTGGTATTTCACAATTTTTGTTATTTGCCACTTACACAAATTAGGTTCCATCATAAATATTTGTTTTTTTCCCATTTCTCTTATTTTATAATTATATATGTTAACAAACTACAGTAGAGCATCGATTATCCGACTCAATTGGGGACTGGGGTTGGTCGGATAATTGAAAAGTCGGATAACCGAAAAGTATGAAAAAATCCATTATTAGTGTAGTATATTATTATATCCCATGTAATTAGTATATCACTATTAACCTACTTCGCGTTTAATTTTCCTCCATGTTAAGCCTATCATTTTTTTTTTTAAAATAATAATCGTCGCTATTGTATCATTAAAAATTAGAAAATTAAGCCTCGTTTAAATACTGGCTCCCTTTCATGGTCGATCCAGTGTTGCCAGCTAAAACACGTAAAAATAATATTAAAGTAGCCAAGACATAGCCAAATATTGTAGCGCCACATCACTAGTGGACATTTGAATTTGCCGACTAGAACGCGGTCGGTTAACTGAGGTGACGGTTAATCGGGGGTCGGATAATCGATGCTCTACTGTAATAATAAAAGTTAAATGGAAGGGAGAAAAAATGCTGTTTTCTAAAAACCACATACAGGTAAGTGTTATCAACCATCTCTTTGAAGCAGGTGTATATGAAGGTCCTCTAGCAACTTTTAGCATAAGCTGCCACAGGTTGTCCACATCAAATTACGCACTTTAAAAATATCCAACACACAAAAATTGCTCCATATAGAAGACTACAATAGTGTTTTTAGAGTAATGATTCAACATAATATATATTAAAGTCTACAAATGTGTTATTTCTACCTTTTGATTATCATCATAAAGATTTGACAGTAAAAAATTAATGTTCAATACATCAAAATCAATGTTCAATTCTAACAATCACAAAATAAAAAAATTGTGATTGAACACTGACTGAATTGTTTGTTTTAACTTATTTAGAAGTGTTTCATCTTAGTATACATTTTCTCCTGAAAATGAATTTTCTAAAAATTTGAAGTTATTTTTCAAAATCATGATCACCACTTATTGTGATCACAAGGATTCAATACTATTTTGATAATAATTAGCTGCCATCTTGTAAGGCATCTAATATACAAGGTCATGTTTACAAGAAGACAGTCAACCAGTCAATCTCAAAAAATTTGACTGATCACCACAATATTTGCTATTCACAATTTCACAATAAACACATTTTTATTAAATTCAAAAATCCTATTAAATTACAGTCAAAAAACTATATTAAAACTTCTATAAAGCAAATTTCTCTAACAAATTTTTACATTGTCCACGGCTCTTTCAGCCAAATATATATGTAAAATTGTTTCTAAATAACAAAGTTAAATTTCTGTACAATAAACAATTATCAATCATTAAAAGTAGATTACTCTGTTTGGGGTTGAGTTTGAATTTAGATTCAATTTCAGTATCAATCTGTAAACCCTTTGTAAAATGTGATGAACCCCAGATGTGAAAAATACTGGTCACTAGCTTTTAAAACCATAATGTAATCTGCTCTCTACATGCAGGCCTCAGAGTGCCATTTTCTCTCTGAAAAAGTGAGTGCAATAGTGAAAAAACAAAGTGAAAACATGGAAGGAAAACTCAGCATAATAGCAGTAAAAGTTTTTTTTTATTTATTGTTATGGTTAAATTCATTTTAAAACTTTCTGTATATACTGTAATATTTCCAGTAAACCATGAATACTTAAGCCTTTGGCTTCTGTAAATAATCAGTCATGAAAGATGATGATCTTTTATTAAGTTTTTTCTGGATGTTTTCAGCTTCCTCTTGCTTTTCAACAGTTTTAACACCAACAAGCATGACATGTGCTGCCTGTATTTCATTCATGTTCTTGCTATTAATGGCCTTCTCCAGTTTTTTGTTTGCTGCTTCTAACAAAACTTGGCCTATCTTGTGTATTTCACTTTCTTCTACTTTTTTCTGTTTTAAACTCTGCTGCAGTGCCATAATCTTTTCCTTGTCACAAACAGCTTTCTTTTGATGTTCAAAATGTTTTTGTGCTTCCTCTTCTGCTCTTTTTTTCTGTTTCTCTTCTTCTTTTAACTTCTTTTCATTTTTCAATTGTTCTTGATAATTTCTTTGCGCTGAGGCAGCTAATTTCAGTACATCCTTTGTAATAGGTATAAGGTGTGGGCTTTGGTCATACATGTTTAGACCCTCCTTAACAAACAAAAATGAATTAAGCATTCTTTCTGACATTGATGCTCTACAGGAGGAAGTGCTTGGCGTGAAATTGAAAATCTCCGTTCCACATCAGCATTGCCATGAGAGGTCAATGCTGATTTCACTAATTTGGTTACACTGGGATATCTTGCATTCTCAAGGGAGTCAACCAATTTAAAATACTGACTCCAATAATAATCAATTCTCTCATCTCACTCAAATTGAAGTAGCCACCACTCATCCTGCAAAGTATCCTCAACAATGTCACATGGAATAGCTCTTGCAATGCTTACAATGTCCTTATAAGTGCTTTTTTTCACTAATATTACTTTGTTGAAGACATGTCAATGATTTCAACAGTTTGCATTGAATTGGAGCTTTTTCTATCATATAGGTGGAAGCAACAACATAGTGTTTCTGTAAGCAACTGCAAAAATGCAATTGATCTTTTTGAAATAATTTACTCAACTCATTGGCAACCTCAGCACTGCAAATAATTTCCTCTAATAGCAAAAGATTTGTCTTGTCAAATAATTTCTTTGGATTTAATACTCTAATTTAATTCTCTTTGAAAAATGTATATTTTGTGAAAATGACTGGACTTGAAATGCCTTGTAGTACTTCTACTTTCATGGAAGGAAGCTTCAACAAACAAGATATATTTCTGTACAAAGCACTTGACATTATGCTTTGTTTACTTGAAGGAATAGACTTAGTAGTAGTAAGTTATGCTCTCCTACTGCTCAATTAACCTTGATGCTACATCATGGAATGTCAGCCAACATATTGAGTGTTTTATAAATCTATGCTTGGGCAACTTGAACTTTTCTTTCACAGCTTTATAACTATCCCACCCACAGAGCAGGCCATCCATCAAAAAATCTGTAAACTGCCACAATAAGTTCTGATGCATTTTCACCCAGTTCACTTAATGCTTTCAGATATGTGTTAAGAATAATATGAATCGTACATGTTCCAATGTTAACAAGGCTTTTCTTGCAAATTCCCAGTACATCTTCCTTAAACAGTCTTAACACTTTTTGGTTACATTAGGACCATCTGATCCTATCATCAAAAGTTTGAGCAGTGGCAGATTGGTATCATCAATCGCTTTGATAATGTATGCAATGTTTCTGCATCTGCCTGCCCAAGAAAACATGCATTTAGGTATCTGCAGACAACTTGTTCTTTTTGCTCCGACCAAAACCTAATCATTATCTGTAACTCTTTCTTACTTTCCATATTCTGGTTTCATCATAACTAATCGTAAAGAATGAAGAGTGGGCTTCTAGCATTTTTTTTTGTTGGAAAATAGGAGCCAATGCTTCAGTTATTAAATAGTGCAATTTCTTCTCATTCATTGATATTCCTTCAGGAAATTTAGTTTTTAGAGGCATTGCTTGTAGTCTTGGAACCATAGTTATTAAAACCAGCAAATGAGAAACTACTATATTGTTTTCATAGCCTATACAAGTTCTGCATGGTATACAGCATCTCTTGAATTATATAAACTCACAGTTGCTGATCCTTCTCCAGTGCCATTATCAGTATTACTTGGAATTTCATCATTTTTTGATGGGCCTGAACTATCACATCTGGTGAAACCTATGTCAGGTGTAACTGTCTTGGACCATAAGCACAGGTAAATTTTTGTCTGTTTGGCAGTACCTCCATGATCAAAAAGTGCTTGGAAACGTTTTTTCACTTGTATTATGCAATTACATTCTTTGCAAAATACATCAGTGTCTGAATGTACAGTACAGTTGCCCTAATCCTATTGTACATACCTTGTCCTTTTGTTTCAACCAGTCAGTCCAGAATTTGCACTTTGGTGAATTCAAACCATATTGAGTGCATTCAAACCATTACATCCATCTATACTCTAACTTGGAACCTGCTATAAACCAACAGTTTGTCGGTATCCTTCCACTAGAGATTTTTTTATTGGTCAATCACAATCTGAAGTGAGTAAACAGTTGTTGACCACGTGATCAGTCACTTCTCTGCATGTGTTAAAATAGAACAGAAGAATAAAAGAATTGCCAATAAAATAAAGCAATACTTAGAAAATTATTTTTT